TTTGGGGCCCGCACGTAAAACCATGAAAAAAACGCTCTTACCCGCATGCATTCTACCTGATGGTTCGGTTGGATTTGGATTCCAGATCAGGAGGGAGGATGCCGCTTCACCCCCATAACTAAAATGAAAGGCTTCTAATGGGGGTGTATGGATAAGCAGATCAAAGGAATTCGTCATTTCATGGTCCGAGAAGAGTCAGGTGGTCTACGATTGCTTTGAGCAGCTAACCACTACCGACCAGGGCTACGCCATCCCAGTAGTTCGCCGAGCTGCTCGCGCAGTAGACGCTGGTCTTGCCACTACTAACCAGTTGTCTGCGCAGCTCTTGGCAGTCGAGGGCTCGATGTAGGATGCGGAATCGGCCTTATTCATACACGCCCCCAAGCCCTGTGCGATAGAACGAACGTTTTGGCCGCCGCTTTTCATGCCGCTCTTCAGACCAACCTTACCATTACAATGAGAACTTTCAGAGGGCAGAATTGGTGGCTACGCATCTCGATAGTGGTTTTGTCCAGGTCCGTCGATGTGTTTAAGTCCCTCCCTCAGCCATCACCTTTCAAGCATTTAATCAGACTTGTTCCGCGTATCCTCAGGTCAGGATCCGTTTAAGCAGCGGATCGATCTGGCAGGCCTTTCTTAACCCCTTTACAAGAGTTATCGTCAGTAGGGCACCAAAGATCGACTGCGCCGAGGTCACCCCATTAGTTTTATCGGCCAACTCTTCCGTGGTACAATTCTTCCCTGTAGGTGGCCAGTTAGCCCCCGTTCCTGCTCATCAAATCTTGTCTGTAGCCTCTTTTCCTACATGGGGCGCTCTTTCGTTCTCTCCCAAGCTCACGAACTTCCACAATCTCATTCTCACCAATATTAGCAAGCTCATGTCTGACTAGCGATTCCAGGAGATGTGGACGGTAGGGCATCCAGAGAAGCTCATGGACCACGTCGCGCAAATCCATCACAGTACGGTGTCCCCCTCCAGCGCTGACTCCTTCGTTAGCCCATTGTGCTCCTTCTGGCCATTTCTTCCGTCTCTATTCGAAGTTTGGGTTGCTTGTTGCTGCGCAATAGTTTCGCTAGGAGCGATTAAGTTCGTGCTAATCACATACGTTGGTATTAGTTACCCGGGGCTGTTGCCCCTCATCAAGAATATGTACTCCACGGCAGCAACTCCAGGAACCGCGCCCGCGCCAAGAACCCCACCTAACTCTCCAGTTAAGAGTCGCAATGCACCCTATGAGCCCGTTAGACCTAGGTATCTCAAAGGTCGACATTGACGTTCAAAATGCATGGCCCCCTCGTGCTTCTACCGTTTCGGTACAGGTTTTGTCGTTCGAAACGGATCGCAAATTTTTCGTCATTCAAATCCCAGTCCGCGTAAATGGAATGCCACTTCTCGCGCTTATTGGCACCGGAGCGAGCATCACAGTGGCCAGTCGGTCTCTTCTCTCCCTTCTAGGCATTCTCGAAGCCTGGGTAGTACCTTCGGCAACAGGGGTGGTAGGCATTCCCGTCAAGTTCGTAGGAAGTGCCATAGTGAATCTACAGATAGGTAGCGAACTACCTAAGCAAACAGTGCAGTTCACCGAAGGGCAGTGCGTCTCAGCGCAAGGAGATTGAATAAGCTCCTATGAATAAGCTCCTATTTCGATCAAAACTACTACCAAGCTTTCCCCTCTAGGCATAGACCCACAAGAATACCGACATGATTTCAGAAGGAGCCAGACGAGCATATCCGTAAATTGCTGAGGGCTGGTAGGATCGTGAAAAGCGACACACTGTGGGTCCACAATACCGTACTAGTCCGGAAGAATAATGGTTCGCTCCGAGCCTGTCTAGATTTTCGTCGTCTTGATGACGTCACTATTCCAGAACATTATCCCCTTCCAGGAATCGAGGACCTACGAAGATCGCCCCCCCCCCTTCGGCACTCGCCACATTCCTCAAGTACAAGCGAGACTGAGAGCTTCTGGAGCGGCTCACCTTCGATCACAACCTAATTGTAGAGTTATCCCACACAGAGCGTGATGAATACTGGTCGGCAGAGAGCGAATATCCGAATTAACACGCGATAAGTTTGCCATTATGTTTGAAGTACGTCCGTAGTACGTCAGTCCTAGTCATCACCACGTCGGCTCTGCTCAACTCCGTGGCCACAAGCGGTATGTACTACAAATGGATTGACAAACTCTCCCTGATCATCGGTGTCGGATCCTCTCAAATTCCGGAACCGGCGTCAGCAGCTCTGGTCACCCACATCCCTCAGGCCTAACTCATCTACGTAGGAGATATCTACCAGCTAGAGCATCATGTCCGCTGTCCTCGCTCCTCTCACGGCAAAGTTCGGGGCTCAAGGAATCATGGGCATTCTCTTAGCAGAACGAGTCCCCACGGCACCACTGACGAGTACCTTCCGCGCCCACACTTTGCTCAACCACACACTCGTTAACGGACCGCGCGCAGAAGAACGCCAAATGTCCTAATCAGACGTTCGATGCCCTAACCCTAAGCTGCCGTGTATATTTGTTGAGGTGCCAGGAAAGCCCTCCAAGGCTCTCAGAGGCTCGAATACCAACCAGGCAGAATCTAAAACCTCTCGCGAGAACTTTTTGAGCCTCCGTTGCAAAAATATCCAATCTTTTTCTATCGCTATCATCGTCTTCTACAAAGAACAAGCACGCGTCCTGTCCCACTTTGCACTAAGCAACGATATCGACTTAGATACAGTGGATTCTTGGATTCCGTGTAAGGTCGAGAAAAGGAAGTCATTCTGCTCACTACCAGAACAGCCTGTCGCTCCCATGGATTCTTGGCCTTCATCGCTTGTCACCTCTGGGCTCAACACCTTCCAGATACTGACATCGACCGGACTGATGTTCACGCACCATAGCGTCAATAAACTGATTATTCTCGTCTTAGTCGCGCATTGTCTGCTGAGCGGTATGACTGCTTTTATTACTGACCAGTTGGGCTACGCACGCAATGCGTGCACCACATGACCACTACCGCTTACCTACGGCTTGTTAGGAAACCAATATAATGAGTATTGATTGACTTCCCATTACATAACTGCTTTCTCACCGTGCTCACGTAACATTCACACTCTTCGTCGTGCCTACGTGACTTTTGGAAGGACGCACAAACGGGCATACAAACAGACACACAAAATTACAGCTTTTTTACATAGAGAAAGTCGGATCGTCCGGCTAACGCCGGGCTTCCCTCCTTCTTATGACAGAGTTATGATAAACGGCAAACAGCACACTCATTCTTTGGAACGAATGATACTTTTCGGAACACGAAGTTCGGTAGGGAACAATAGGACATGCAAACGATATTCAAAATGTGCCGACGCCTATGCCTTTGATTAGAATCTGTCTGTCTCGAACTGTCGTTGTTATTTTTGAAACAATGATCCATTGAAGATTTAACTGGTAGGCATTCAAAGCCTTGAATGGTACTCTCAAATGTTGTCAATTCATAATAATACCATTATCAATGTTTTATGAATGTAGCTCCTTTTCTCTATGGATATATATATGGATATATCAATAAAGGAGAATCCAAGATTGTTAGTGGTCGGAGAAGTTTTGCCAAGAATGATATCAAAGCAGAGAGAAACCGTTATCCTTCATTGAATCGCATACTTCGCTGGATAGCGGTCGTAAGCAAGAAGTGAACCAAATTTCATATTCGGCCCCTATCGATGAACTTACCCTTATTGTCAAATGGAACATCAAAGAATCAAAGCTAGATCGTAAATAACAAAAGCGCTAGGATTCCATTGGTGGTTGGGTCTTGTTCTCTAAGACCTCCTCTATCGTCAGTGTTCCCAATCCTGCCCCCTCTCCTCCACGGGATCAGGAGTAATGAATTTTCGCTCAGACATTTATTTTGCACAAATCCCGCCCCCAGTGGGCACGTCCGGTTCTACTACCCACCATAAGTGTTCGCATACTGCCGCCTGTCTTCCTACAAGGATTGAGCGCTCTAGAGCCAATTCGCGCACACCCCGCCTTCTATGGAGGGGTCGGGTCTCCCACCTGCCATAAGTGTTCCCATCCTGCCTCGGGTACTCTTACCCAATTCGAATTTTCTAGGTCCACTGAGACAGGAGTTAGTATTTACACTTAAACGTTTATTTTGCGCAAACACCGCCCACAGTGGGCGGAGTCCGGTCTTTCCACCTACCATACTGTTCCCCATCCTGCCCTAGGTACCCCTACCAAATTTGAACTTTCTGGGTTCACAGGTACAGGAATTATGATTTTCCGCTGAAACACTTATTTTGCACAAACCCCGCCCCCCGTGGGCAGAGACTGGTCCTTCAACCCACCATGAGTGTTCCCATCCCGCCGCCTGTGTTCTAACCAATTTTGAACGCCCTAGGTCCACAGGAACAGGAGTTACGAATTTCCAAACAGACAGACAGACGGACAGACAGACGCGAGCGTTTCATATAAAGTAAAAATTGTATTGTTAGATAAAGTATTATTTGCCATTGTTCTACGTTTTCATAGTGGTAATATCCGAACTTATTATATCACTTGTTTTATTTTTACTCCCACTCGAAACCAAAAGGTACGTCCAGAAGGGCACGGTTGACAGGAGCTACGCTGTCACTGACCGAAAGATTAGGGCATGCATTTGTTATTCGCTTATTGGTTGCGACCTTCAAAAGCCAATGCTAGTAACATAAATCAGCAGAACCACTCAAAAAGGGAATTAAATTCCTTCTTGTATACTTAGAGTCCGCCTTATCAACTGCATCTTACCACAAACTGCTCACTGGCCGCATTCATACTAGGTGCGGTAGACGGCGGTCGACCGCCGTCTACGGCCCTCGACCGCCGTCTACCGCACCTAGTATGAATGCGGCCACTGTTCACGCTCCAGTGCATCTTTGCGCCCCGATGACACCACGGTTCACGAGAAAAGCATCTCCGAACAGAACAAAACCTTTCTATTACTGTTTTTGAAGGCGCTAGTTTTGCTGCAGTTACATGGCTAATGATATTCTATATCATGAAGTATCCAACATCATTGCAAGCGTGCTGGCAAAAGAGCAGAGTCTTCGTAGGGCCGTTTACAGTAGCAGCTACAAGGTAAGTTTACTTTTTAGTGTGAGGCGTAATGCTTGTTTTGTTGCATATGCGCTTGGACTGTGTGTTATCCCCTATGGCCGCCTTACTTTTCTCTTAACTTGTTTTCTTTATAATTATTGTTGTGGTTTCTTTGCTGCCTCAAACTGCGCTATGAAATATAAACAAAGTTTCGCGCAATGCTACAGAGTGTACCAATCGAGAAAGGTCTCTCAAACATTTGCTCAGTTAACGAGTAACCTATTTTCGTACTTACTCAAAGGCTGCGCAAAAGCCAGGAAATAAAACGAATATGTTGTGCTCACTGCTTGTCGTTCCTGAAGCAAACAACTTTTGTTCAATTTTATTTGAATCAAGTATGAGTTCTCATGAATAAAGGTAAATCACGAGAGGGACTGGAAGTGAGCGCTCTTAACTTCAAGCAGAATGCTCTGCAGATTCTCGAATGTTGTAGTCAGAGCCCAGGTGTCGCAGATAATATTTTACAAGTGAAGTCCTCTCGAAATCTTCTATATCTCAAGGTTTGCTCCTATATGTATGCCTCGCATAAAAACTTGCCCCATGATACGGCAGATACTTTGCATACTGGCAGTTACTTTGCAAGCACTTCAAAACCTTGGCGATGTTCTCATGAGAGTCGCGTTTTGCTGACCACCACAAGGTAGATTCGTATAGGTCATGGCATGTGATTGGAGAGAGCTGTTATTTTGTCAACGGAACAATGTGGTTTTGAAGTTTGCCCAGCTTTTACATGATCTTTCGAGTGTTCCTTTCCTCCTTCGCCCAGGGTATCCTACCATGGTGCTTGTATCGTCTTCCGAACTAGTTTCAAATAAGGCTGAAATTACCTGAAAGTAATAACACCTTTTAGTGCCACTCAATAATCAACAATTATCTGATGCTGCAGTTCCTCGACAGAGGTCTCGCCGACCTTAGTCAAACTCCACCACAGCGCGTCCCAATTGTTATTATTTCCTGGTACCAATAGGTATGATTACTCTCAACACAGCAAATCCCAATGGTAACTATTCAGCACCGAACATTTACCCGATCAGTTGCGCAAGAAATGAGATAGGCCTTGTACCGCTGAATGCGCTCCTAATCAGGGGTACAATGCAACTATTTGGTGTCATCATTGATTCGTTTTATCTCTTGTTCTATATAACGTTTCGAGAAATCGACTGTAATAACCTCGTTGATAAGGGAATTTCTTTCTGAAAGTGTTTTCGATTTTTATATCTGGCAGGATTTGCTCATCTATTCATCCTCTTCCGAGGTCCAATAATGCATAACACACAAGCGTCCTCGAATGCTGCTGATGACGAAAAATGCAGTGAGCCGAAATGTAATCCATTTGGCACGCGGTATTCGGCTTTTTGTTAAAATATCTTTGCGATGCTGCATCTTCTCACTAAGTTGCTCAATACACTGCTCACAGGTATTTGACTGATGAGACTCGTGTGTGGGACTACAATGCATGGGATAACGTGGAATGGAGTGATGAAATGAGCAAGAACGCTGCTCGTATCGTTGAAGCTCAGAAACAGGAAGCTGTTGACGGCTCGAAGGCAGAAAAGCTGATCAGCAAGCCTGAAAAGCAATGGGATGCGTTTTATTCACATCACAGCAACAATTTCTTCAAGGATCGTCGATGGCTGCTGAAGGAGTTTCCAGAGTTGGACATGAACAACTACCCAGAGGTGAGTGTTTCATTCAAACTGGAGAAGTTATCCGCGTTTTCGACCTTGCTATGTAGCCCATGTAGCCTTTATAACGCGTGATGTGTAAGCAGCAATAGACGCAGAAGGATGTGAGATTGGCACTTTTCAAGTCTTGCAGATTCCCTACCATCTGCTTCCATTCACTGAATTCTTGTAGATTGAAAAATGATTACTTATCTGCGAAGACTTTTTGGGTGTTGTTGGTCAGTTCTGTGGTATAGGCATGGCAATGTCCCTTCAGTGTCGCTTACGCTTAAGGCTATAAATGCATCTAAGTGATATGACGCTGCAGACAAGCAGCAACAATCCTTACATTCGTTACCCAGCGTCACAGCAACGGTACAATGAATCAATTCGCATTTATTGGGATGCTAAAACCGCATTAAAGTTCACGATGAAAATGGATTCTGAGATCTCCCTATAGTATGAATTCGAGGCTCCCTCTTATAGCAAACCTGTCTGGATAAGGGTGAAAAACGTCCTGGATCGGGCACAATAAGGGGCCAGAGATTACATCGTGTGAATGCCACACCCTGAGTGGACCAGTTTCAGCGGCTTTCTAGAGGCTGCACCATTCACAAGGGAAACAGTGTAGGAAGTTCAAACAACTTTTCATGGCCCATAGCGACAGTGAGAGGCGGTTCTGGACCGTTGAGGCTCGGCGTAAAGCTTGAAAAATGCGGATTTTCTCGCTTTCTTCGCCACCGACGTATTCCCTACATCAACACTTCCGCTTTTCAACCTAGAAAGGGTACCTCAAAATTTTCGTGAACTGTGCCTTTAAAGTGGTCGAAGCAGAGGCTCGAGAACACTCACCAGTGGGAAAGGAAAAATAATGAGGCTTTTTCTTCTGCACGAAGCTCAACCATACATGGCTTTTAATAGAACATTTGATTGTTCAACTACACACAAAACGAGCTAACCCTCTACATAGGGCTTGCCTTTTAGCGGAGTCAGGCCAAAACGACCTCCGTTTCCGTACCCTTATTCTAAGGATTAAAAAGGCGTGTTACTTTCACTTGCCTAGATTGTGTGATGGTTTAGTTATTGTGCAATAGTTTCGAAGCTATTAAGAGAAGTTGATATATCGGATATCCTCATGAATCGATTTCTTTCCTTCAAGCTCTGACGAATGTAGATCTTCCGAAGCTTTAGCCCTTCCTTCTGTATCAATCTCATGTGCAACTGTATTAATAAAGGTATCTGGCCACTGTTATGCCCAGAGCTAGCTGGTACGCGGTCGCACTCAGATTAGCTTAGAATTCACACCCTACCAACACCTAAGAGGGCGCGCTTATGCTAGGCATCAAGTATGATTCAGTTGTTGTTTCACTTTCTTTATGGTTCGCAATCAACCTTTTGGATCTGTTCTGATGTTACTTTTTTTCAGGGATCCACTGTACGAGTTCTCGAGGTCGGCTGCGGTGTGGGCAATACTTCGTTTCCATTGCTGGAGTGGGACACACATCACAAAATGTCCCTTTATAGCTGTGACTATTCTACTGTAGCGGTAAAGGTGTTGAAAGAGCATGAAAAATACGATGGATCTAGGATATCAGGATTTGTCTGGGATATCACAAAAGATGCACCAGAAGCTGCTCCGGCAAAAGAATCCTTGGATTTCGTTGTCTGTATATACGTGTTGTCCGCGATACATCCATCAGTGGCTCGACAAGCGATCGATAATCTTGTGAGCCTTCTCAAGCCAGGAGGAATGCTGCTGCTCAAAGATTACGGTCGATTCGATCTTACACAACTTCGATTCAAGAAATGTCGATACATTGATGAGAATCTGTATTGTAGAGGCGATGGTACTTTAGTGTACTTTTTCAGTAATGACGAATTGGATTTGCTTCTTCGGTCAGCAGGACTCGTTAAAAGAGCAAATTTTGTTGATAGACGGTTGATTGTTAATAGAGCGAAACATGTGAAGATGTATAGACAGTGGTTGCAGGTTAAATATCAAAAATGCTAATAAAGTATTTTTTAACATTGTTTTCAATTGGCATTTTTTGACACCATCTGAGTCGTGCATTTACGGCATCACAGTGGGTGTATGCCGTTTGGCGCGATCCCTACCATCGCGCTGCCCATTCGACACGGTTTGCAAACTGGAAAATTCGTTCCAGCACCATGAAAAAGCCAAATAGACTATGTAGACAGGCACGAGTTGTCTAGCTTGCAAACCACGTCGAATGTGCGGCGCGACGGGAGGGGTCGCGCCAGACGACCGCCTCCCCGTCGAGGTGGTTCAACCTTCTGACCATGCTGGTCGATGCTAATAGACAGAATACAAGTAGGTCAGCAATTCGGTTTTTAATAGTAGTGGCGTCATTGATTGGGCGTATATAAGCTGGATGAGTCGCTGGTTGACCGACGAGCTTAGTCAGGAGGTTGAATAACTTGGACGAGTTGTTCAGCTTGCAAACCGTGTCGAATGGGTAACGCGATGAGAGGAGCCGCGTCAAACGACCGCTTCCACATTAAAGTTTAGCATATTTTACTGTGTTATTACCTGAAGTCGTGTATCAATCAACTTACAACAGAATCTTTCAGAACAAGAAGGCATTACTGCGGTTGAGTTGCGAAACTCTGCGATTTCGAACCCTATTGGCTGACATTTTGTGCGACCCTGTCGTTGGCCGAATCACTTCTGATCCTGAACTGAATGGAAATGTTAACTTGGCGTATGTTCTGCTTTACGAATTCTTAGCTGGAGCTGGTTTGGGAAGAGTGAGTTTTTTCTTAGTTCTCTGTAGTAGGTAATAGACCACAATACGACATACTGTCAGGAGCGGCGTCAGCCTTGTAACATAATCTCAATTGTCGGGAGGGATGAAATTGGGTCAACAATGTAGTCGAAGTTCGTGAGAGGGTGGAAGAGGTAAAATATATCAAATTAACGGAATTCGACGTTGGTCCTATGGCGAATCCTCAAAATAGTGGAATCGAGCATCTCCACGTAGCACGGAACTCTCTCAACAGTGCAGAGAGCCAAACTCGCCTAATTAATCACTATGCACTACATCCTCCCTGTTCTCATTCAGTTTCCGTTCTTTAAGGCACAGTCCCCGATAATTTTGGGTAATCCAGATTGGGGCGAAAATGGAAGATAAGATGGAAAATAGCGCGATGAAGGCGAGGGAGCTGCATGAATCGGTGTCTCCAATGTGAAAAAATGTTTTGAAATTCCGTAAAAAGGGGGCTGGACGAGAATGGGACAAGAAGAAAGAAGAGTGGGGAGTTCGAACGAGCTATACGGGTGCGCTTCGTTGCGCGCGTCCGTCGAAACTGGGTCACGCCGCGGCCGTCGCATGCGGCGGTTCAGCCCGCCTTCTTTGACAAACGTCGCACTTGTCAGCGGGGTATACGAATTGCGCTTGGTCCACGACAGTCAGACAAAGAGAAGATATCACAGACAAATGCAAATCATCAGCTCCACCGACACTTGGTGGTACTCTAATGCCGTCTCGAGACCTCAGTGGGGTGCGCCGTGCGATGTGGGCGGGGTGACCTACTTTCGAGCGGACGCGCGCAACGGACGTTCTCCCGACCTATACAGTGTGGGTCAATGCGTACGTGTGGGTCCTTGTGCAAATAACTAAATACGCTGTTTACTTATGCTTATAAGCAAAAATTTTTTACTTATAAGCATAAGTAAACAAAACCCCCAGTAACGGCGAAAATAGCTCATCTTTTTCAGCCTGTTGGTACAGGAAACTAAATAAGGGATCGCGGCAGAAAAAAAATAGCAGAGGAAAAAAGAATGGGAGAAATCATCGCCTCACCACTCGGCGATCGGCTGATTGTGTGTGGGTCCTAGAACGAATAATTGCAATCTGTATCGTTTCAACACGCGTCTGACGTGACATCGACGGAGGGCGGAAAAGCCCCCGATCCAGCACCAGGGAATTATAGTGAACTGTGCCTTTTAATATTCATGAGTTGTCTTACTAAACTAAGCAATGTTGGTTCTAAAAATAGGATCGCGTCAGTACATATATACTCACCAGTTGGGCTACGCACGCTAATGCGTGCACCACATGCCCACTACCGCCTAACTACGGCTTGTTAGAGAACCAATATGATGAGTATTGGTTGACTTCCCATTCCATAACTGTTTCCTCACCGGGCTCACGTAACATTCACACTCTTCGTCGTGCCTACGTGACTTTCGGAAGGACGCACAAACGGGCATACAAACACACACAAAATTATCCCTTTATTACATAGAGAAAGTCGGATCGTCCGGCTAACGCCGGGCTTCCCTCCTTCTTATGATAGAGTTATGATAAACGGCAAACAGCACACTCCTTCTTTGGAACGAGTGTTACTTTTCGGAACACGAACTTCGTTAGGGAACAATAGGGCATGCAAACGATATTCAAAATGTGCCGAGGCCTATGCCTTTGATTAGAATCTGTCTGTCTCGAACTGTCGTTGTTGTTTTTAAAATAATGATCCATTGAAGATTCAACTGGTAGGCATTCAAAGCCTTGAATGGTACTCACGAATGTTGTCGCGTCATAATAATACCATTGTCAAATGTCTTTGTGAATGCAGCTCCTTTCCTCTATACATCATTAAATGAGGATCCGAGTTTGTTAGCGGTCGGAGAAGTTTTGCCAAGAATGATATCAAAGCAGAGAGAAACTGTAATCCTTCATTTATTCGCAAAGTTCGCTGGGTAGCGGTCGTAAGCAAGAAGTGAACTAAGTTTCATACGCTTAAGTTCGGCCCCTACCAGAGCACTTACCCTTCTTGTCGAATGAAACATATCAAAGAATCAAAGCTAG